CGAGCTGTGCAAATTGGCGAGAGCAAATCTCCCCGGCCCGAATTCCATCCGAGATAATGCGAAAAAGAAAATCAAAAGGCGTAAAGCGCACGTTACGACACTCCCAAGGCCATTAGGGACTTTTCCTGATAAGCAGACGACCTTTTTTCTCTGCGCTCTCACACATATTGCTCTGGTGTGGTATCTCGTTACTTAGCCGAGCAAATATTAGAGACCATTCAGTCGTCATTATGAGTGCACTCTCTGTGCCGACTCATCATCTTTCGTCGTCGCCGCGGATCAATTCATATTTGCTCGGCAGTGTGCGAGTATGGGCGAGCACCCCTCCTTGTTTGAACAGATCTTTATCGCCTCCTTACACATATGCAACCACCCTGCTTTAGCCACGCGCAAAGTTGGAACCTAATTCCATTCAATTTCGGAGGTGCTGCCGAAGCCTTCTCTCGCCAAGCTTCGTTTATTCCGCGTAAATTACTCACGTCTTATCTCAAAACTTTTCAAATTACTTATAAATCGCATTTTCTCCATTATTTAAATAAACACAATTATCGCAAAATATTAAAATTGAGGGAAAATTCTATAGCAATTCCTATCTAAAAAAATCATATCTTGGTTTCTCATTCACTAGCTTTTTGGAGCGCGTAGATATTTTTAAATGAAAAATGAATGAAATCTTCATTATACAGACTATTTAATAAGTGCAACAGAAAGTGGGCAAGTTAGGCAACTTGCTACACACCACTGGCATGCATGTTGCATAAGCAGTATTTTCGCAGGCGTTGATGAAATATAAAGCTGAGTTATTATTATTTTCGAGCAAGAATTATGATTCTTCAAGGTAAGTTTTATTTCAGAAAAGCAAACAGTATTTTCATAGAAACTTTCCCTCAATTTTTGCCGCTTTGCTCTAAGTTTGTTTTATGTAAAAAGCTTCTTCGAGAAGAGACTGGTGTGTTTTATTGTTGCAGTGGTGGCTGCTGGTCGCATAATTTTAATGCTATCTCCCGAGGGAGGCCTCTTCGGAGCCAAGGAGGAGGAAGAAGAAGAAGGGATTGTATCTTAATGGCCACGTCTCTCTCGCAAAAGCCGCGTCTAATTTATTTCTCAATATTGCTTTCCAATAGTATCGACAAAGAGCACCAGCGGCAAGAAAGATGGAGCTCAAATGCGAAATTGCTTATCAGCCAGTCGCAGAGCCCGATAGATATTTATTCCCCCGTCGACCCCTTCAGGCCCCCTCTCTGGCTGCAACGCCCAACCCCCACGCCGGTGCGTTTGTTATTAATATAAAAATGACTTGGCCGCGCCACGCAAAACAATAGCAGAATATAAATTATGCCGCGATCGATTCGCAGCTGCCACTTTCAATTCCCACCCGCTCTCCCGCCCGTCCTGCCTCTCTCTTCTGCTCTCTCTGCGGCTTTTATTGTTTCTCTTGGAGCTTATCTGCCAAGCACAGGCGCACCTTTTTGCCTTTTATTTCTTCCAAAACTGGTGGAAATTATAATCATGATGTGGCCACAGAAATAAATCAATTTTTTTAGGAAGTTATTATTTTAAAATCAATTGAATACCATGTTGGTCTTGAAAATAAAATTTTCTAAAATTAACTGTGGGTTAATTTTTAATTTTCTGTGGATATTTTTAACTTTTGTTCGCTGGATTAAATGGAGTGTACTAATTGAAATTGTGGTGATAGCGAGTTTAGTTAGGTTGGTTTGGGGTACACATAGGTTGTTTCCGAGTAGGCCCACGTTACCGTTTTTCCTGTGTGATGAGCACACACAGAGAATAATTCAAGCCTAAGTGAGCACCAAGCAAGCTCAATTGAGTGATCAGATTATTCCTTTTGCGCTTACGTGTGTGTTGTCCGGTCAATCAATCGATTTGGTAGGTTGCCGGCTTTTTGGCGATTGTGTTCGCCAGGTATGAAATTATTTACTCTCGCTGGCCAGCGGGCGGCTTTTTGCACTGTTGTGCACCCACCGCCTCTGCTGCACACAAAGAGTGCTACGCATGAGCATACATTTTAATTTGCGCACTCAACGGTTAGAAAGGGGGAATGTGAAGAGAGAGGATTTCGCACTTTGCCAAAATTACTTGATGATGGAGGAAAATTATAATAGACTTCGAACATTTTGTTACTTTTGAACTTTCAATCGAAGGTGGCTTGCTCCAATAAATAATATTTTTCTGAAAAAAACTTTCCTTTTTGATTATTCTAATTAATTTTGTTTTAATTTATAATAAAAATTAATTTGTTTTAAAGATTGATTTCCTCTCATGTATGATTTAAATCAATAATTTCTGCGATGTACGATGCATTTGAGCAGTAATTTCATGAATTTGGAATCTCATGATATATCAATTACACTTTTCATATTACGAAAATTTTGGATATGAAATAAGGCTTTTTTTTATTAAATTTTTGTCAATATGTAATTGACTCAAAATTTTCAGCTGCCCAGCGTCAACCTGAAAACAGCAGGTTGCGGTAGAAATCAATGTGCACTTTGAGCAGGCAGCAAAATTCTCACTCCAGTTGTGTTTTCGTTCCTGTGTTTGCTCAAGTAATGGATCGACAGGGTGCAGGTACTCTGTGCGTTTTAAACGCAAAAGAAAGAGGTTTTTGTTTGCGCTGCCAATGGGTGTTATTGTTTCGTGTTTATTGCGAGGAGCGCGCCTGCTGAGCCGCAGCTTCAAACCTATTGATTTCGCCCCCTTTACTTCTTCTCACCCTCTCTTCTGCGAAACGCAATGTTCCTCTGAATTGGGCAAACATCAAGCAACTGTCCGTAAACAATAAATTCGCGAATTAATAAAATATCTTGCTGGTCTTAAAATAAATTAGCACAAAGGCAGTCAAAAACTCAGGAACAGAAATTCCTCTGAGAAACTTTGCAGTAAACTGCGAAGAAGTAAAAAACTGAAGTTTGTGCCATTTATATTTCACAAGGGCAGCTTCCCCTAATTCCCAACACGCGAAAGTGGGGAGAAAAGCCAGATGCGGCGGCACAGCCCGATGGTTGTGCGCCTTTTACGCGGCCGTAAAAATATTCTAGGGCAAATTGAAAATAATAAAATTGAAACTACCTGCGTGGCCATTTTGGTGCCGCGGCGGTTTTATGGGGGTTGCGGAGCAGAGGGGGCGAGAGAGATGAGTGAGGACAGTGAGGAAGGAGCAGACTCCAAGTATCGATCTGCTGAAAGGTTCAAAGTGCTCGAGATGCTCAGTCTGAATTCAAAACGTCCACTGCACACTACCCAACCAATCACTTCTTGGCTTGATATTAAAGAGAAAGAACTAAATTGAAATAAATGAATATAATTTATTATAAAATCTAATATTTTACTTGTATAAAAATTTGATGCTAAATGGATATGACACGGAAAATAAAACAAATTATTGAAGGCAAATAGTACTTTTTGAATAAAAGGAAACACCTCTAGCAAAACAGTAAAAAAATATGCATGAAAACAATCTTCCACAGAGAGCCTCAGATAAATTAAATTTAAAATAAAAGATTTATTAAATAATTTCAAAGTTCAAAAATAATGTGGCTCATAAAAAACCGTTTTTTTCTATAAATTATTGCCCCACTTTCTGAAAAGTAAGGACACACAAGACTGCAGGGATGAGGATATTTTATCTGATTAATTATGAAGCATCTTGAGAATTCAGTGCAGCATTCTTATCGTGTTGTTCTGCACGCTGGGAGATAAATCTTTGACTGCGCGGAGCTTAAGCATGGCGAGCAAAAAGAGGAACGCTGTCAGATGGAGAGTGAGGGTGGGAGGGATGCCGGAGCAAAAAAGGGTGCTGTGCGCCTCGGCAAATAGTGGTGCTCGAGGCTGGTGCTCACTCACCCGCTCAAATCCAGCTGGCGGCCAATGGAATGACGAATGCAGAGACACTCCAGAATTAGCATGCCATTTGAATACACATAAAATGCAATGGGAGTGTGTTTCTCGAGGAAACTGGTGGGAGTTGTGCAAATTGCCATTGGCTACGAGAGGACCAAAGGGTTAACTCTCTCACACCTCCTCCCGAGATGGCTTGCTGTCCGCACCTGCTGCGGTCCTGGCATGCCACCTGTCTTTGCAACCCTTAACCATCAACCCTCACCAGCACTGGACTCAATACACTGAACCTTTCAGAATTTCATAAAATTAATAATACTGTACTTAACTGAATTCATTCATAAAATAAATAAAATTACACAATTACTCAGCATGAAAAGTTTCATTAAATTTTTGCTAAAAATTGATAACAACAAAATCTGCAATACATTTATTTTTTTGATCAATAAATTTTCATCTTAATAAACTAGCGTTTGAATGATTTACTCAGGAATGGACAAACTTTAATTTTCAAAGATATAAATCAGGAAAAGAAGAAAATTAAAAAAGAATCCTTTCTAACGACAATATTTTTCTAGCCCATAAGTAATGTGTTAATACAAATTGAGACCGGCTTGCGAGTGGGGCATGTTTTTTTAAATTAAATTGCGCATGGACCGCAGCCTGAGTCCACAGGGACGCGAGGCAGAAGAAATTTTAATTCCACTTTGTAATATCAAATTACGCCGTAGCTCGCTATGCACAACTCTTTTCCATATTTTTCATTTGGCCAACTTTTATTACGCGCCAAGAGAGGAAAAGAGAGAGATAGAGAGAGCGCCAGCAGACCCACATTTAATAATTTAACCTTTCATCTGCATAATAAATATAAAAATAAGGCGTGCCCCCATTGGGTTGCGGATTCAAGCCAACACAAGCTTAATGCTGGGTCGAAAATATTAAGTGAAAAAGTAAGCGATCAACAATTTAATCTTATTTACGGCTACTTTCTTGAGAAGATCTTAAATTATTTGATATTTCTAGGTTCACACAAAGTTTAAACCGCATCAGAGGAAATTATGAATTAATTAATAAAAATATACAATGAGGTATATTTTTCTGAAATTTTTTTATATAATATTAAAGAGACGATTACTTACCATTAAGTGACTTTGGCGAGGAATATCCATCATAAAATACAGCATATTTTAGCGCTTTGAATTCAGATGCCCTAAAAAAGAAGTAAAAAATAGATATTAACTTAATATTGAAAAAGTAAGAAAATATTAAATTTTTAATTGCACAGCTTCTTTTTCAATTTGGATTTAAAAAATATTAAAAAAATTAAATTCCGTAACCCTCAAAAAGCACTACTTGGCATTTTGGCTTCAAAGCACTCAAATTCTCCATAGTCCAACATTTTCGTCCACTGAAAAATTACTTTTTTACAACTTAAAATTGGGCTTGATTAACCCTTTGGGTGCTCCCCGCGGACTGTTTGCTTATTCATGCGCCGCTTGTTCTCTCCCTCTACGTTTTAGTTCTTCTTCGTCTTGTTCTACCGGCCAGAGATGTTATTATTTTGGAATATTAATGTGCGCGCCGCAAATTGGCGAATTTGTTTGCGGCCCCACGTCTTGCAAGGCGGAGAGTTCCGTCGCCACCCCCTCCTCCCTTAATTGCCATCGCATGCCACCATAGGCTATACACGCTCCGCACTTAAACTTTTGTGGACACAGAATACTGAATAATAAAATGTAATTTTAATTTTCAAGACAATAATTTATCAAAATAAAAAATTAAGTACTTCGAGGGATACATGGAAAACACTTTCTTTTGTACGTCCTGATATAAAAACTTAATGCATAAACTATTACATTTTTTATTTTTTAATATTGATTTTTTTTTAATTTTTTTCTTTAGGTATATATTTTTTTCAACACAAACTTTAAATTAGAATGTTGCCTTTTTAATTATCTGTATAAATTATTGTTTTTTTTTAAAAAAAAATCAGATTTCATTATCATAATCATTAGTTTACACACTACACAGCATATTTTTAAAACAAAATTTAAATAGAGCGACTTAACAATATTCCTATTTTAGTGATTATCATCCCTCTAATAACTGAAAATTTCTTGTGTGTCCACTATAATGGCGAAAGCTTGTTGAGAAGCACAGATTTTTAAGTCGTCTCTCGTCTCATCTTTCAAGGGATTCAAGTTGTAAAGTAGAAGCCTGCTCGTGGGCACGTTATACGCGTGTTGAAACAAGAGCCGTGGGGTGGTTCGGGGGGGCGGATTCCTGCATGGGATGAGAAGGACCACCGCAGAATGTAAGAAAGAACAAAGGTGAGCATGGCCACGGGCCAGCCAAAGATGCTGGCTGTTCACTTGTAGTGTTTCTGTTGCTGAAACTCAACTCTCTCTCTAGCTCACTAGAAAGCCTCTCGCTCACTGCGCAGAGAGGATCAAACTATCTTGCCAAAGAAGAAATTTCTGTCCGACCTTTGAGCAGCGGTGGCGGCAAATATTTGAGGGAACGAAAGCCTCTTTATGGCGCTCGCTTTTCAAACATCAAAGCAAGTACACTATTTTTGTCATTTCTGTGTTCGCAGCAAAGCAAATTCACGAATTCTCAAGAATTTCCAGTGCCAAAGGCGAACAACAACGGAATTCTAGCTGTTCTTGATAGAGCGCAGGAATCGCAGGTTTTCAAGTAAACATCAAGGGTATAGAGAATTATCTTAATTTGCGTCCTTGGTCTAGTCTTTTAAATATTATTTGGTTTGAAACTAAAATAATCAAACACAAGTAAAAATTATTTTTTGCATTGCTTATAATAATTTGAATTATTGTACCTTTAAAAAATAAATATTTTAAATTCAATTTCGTTTGCTTCTAAAAATTTTGAGCAACTATCTTTCTTGTTTTTTAAATTAATTTTTAAATTAGAACTAAAGAAAAAAAGAATAAGAATTTTAAGGAAATCAGTTATTGCATAATCTTGTAATAATCCATTAATTGTAGAAATCTATTAAAGTAGGCAACTTGCCCGACTCTCACGTCAATCAAGTTGCATAAGTTTGCATGGAAGTAAATAAAAATTATTTAAATTACACCAGAATTACACGTGCTTTGAATTAGAGGATTCTTATCAACATAAATTAAAACACTTAAGAGCTTAGGCGAAAAATTATTTTCAGCTCTTTTTTAATTGTAAAGAAAAGAATTTATTTGTAGTTCAAGGTATATAATAATTGGCGTATCCTCCGCAATATTTTGTATTTATTTTTAAAAAACTCGTCGCGTCCCATGTGCTGCTTACTAAATCACTTTACACATGCAAATTTATCTTGATTTGAAGATGCCCCGCACGCAATATATGTAAACAACAAATTACTAATGTGATTTTTTACGCGTGGCGGCTATAGGCGCCCACGCGCGCGCGACTTTCATTTTAATATCATCTTTTCGCGGGCGGTCGGGCGTTTTATCACTTTTTTCCCGAGAAGAAATGCAAAACTCCGCCCTCGCCAAATAAAAAAGTTGGTTGGCGCGCGGATGGCAAAAATAACGATTTTTCATCTTTCGCTCTCTCGTGAAATGTTTATTAAAAGAACATGAAAAGCGCGGCCATTAGGAGGAAAGAGAGCGCGCGGCGGCGCGCACAAAGAGCTCTGCTGGGCGAGTCGGTTTAATTTCAGCAGAATACCAATCAACTTTCTTTCCAGCTTTTCTGCGGAGAAAAAAAATGAGAAAAAAGAAAACGTATAAAAGCGCTCTCGAGAAGAATCTTGTAGCGAAAAAAGTTAGTTAGAAGCTGCTGCAATAAACATATTTCCCAAGAATTTTTCTTTTTCCGCTTGGCGCGCTTTTAATCAAAACTTTATGAATGCATTAAAAGAAGAGGTGGCGGCGAGAGTCGGCGCTTAATTAAAATTCATGTGAGCTTGGAATTCGTCACGTGTGGCTCATCTACAAGAGGAAGAAGGAGGATGAAAGGCAATTTTGTAGCAATATCTTTGCTCCAATGAACTTTCAAGCGAAAGAATAAAAATACTTGAAGCCCTGGCAATAAACCAATAAATAAAATATGTTTTCATATCTAAAGAAAATAATTAAACTAAAAAAGATTAATATTTAATTAATCAGTCATTCCTATGATTTATAACACGATAACATGCCCAGAAAATTCCCATCAAATTCCAGCTACGCCCGAAATTGATCAGTTGCCAAATTTAATCAATATAAGAAGCGACGGCGGATGGAGTCGAGAGTTGTTTGTTAAATTGAAAATACATTAAAATATCGACTTGGGCTGGGTGGCATAATCTGTTTTTCTTCCACTACACTTGCTCTCGCGCGCGTAATTAATGGAAGGGTGGGTGGAACCGTCGAGGGGGTGCATTTCTCATTAATTCACGTCGGAAAGAAAGGATTCGATCCGAGTGTGTTTTCCCACTTGCAAAACTGCTAGCTGCGTACATATATACACGGACGGACGGGAAATCACAAAATCAGCCACCGCGTGCGCTCATCATTGCCTCATTTTTCAATATGTCTCGCGCCGCCTCATCTTCCAATCATTATTTCTGCCGCGCACCCTCTTGTAATTTAATTTGCTTGAGCGATGGATTCCCCAGAGTGGTGCTTTTTATCGCGGCAGTTTGTATTATTTCTTGAATTTACTCAAGAGGAAGAAATAAAATTTTCAACAACATCTCGGCCGAAATGGATTTTGAATGTTCTTAATCGATGCACCTCGCTCGTCTCAGGTTGTTTTCCGCGTCAAATCGAATCAAACCATCGAGGCGACCGCAGGGCGCCGTGTGGCATTTCGCCGGTATGTAATTATGCAACTCTGATTAATATGCAAATGAGTGGGGCGCTATGTGTTTGTGTGAATGCCAATCATCTCTTCGCTTCGCTCTCTTGTTGGTATGCATAAATCGAGTGCCCTTTGCATTTTCCAACTTCCCTTTGATGACTGCACTGTGAACGTGGTGGCTTATATTTGGATTTGCTCTTGCAACGGCAGCATATTTTACTTTCTAATAGCCACAGGAATGATTGCTTTGTAATTGGCAATTTGAATGATAAACGATTATTGCGTGGGCCGAATTTTACCATGTGATTCAAAAGAATTGTACAAATTACTTAAGATAAGAATTTCCATTTTGAATTTTAATACGAGAAAATAATTTTTTAGCAATATTTATTATTTATACTAATTTTATAAGGTAATTTAGATGTAATTCAATTATAAATGTAATGCTTATTAATATCACAGAATACCAATTCATTTTTCTTATATTATACCATTATTTTTTTGAGTTAAATAATCATTAATATTAATTAATGGGGATTTTTCATGATATTTTAAATTAAAATCAATTTTTAAAACATGATGAAATAACGATTTAAAAAATTTGTCTAAATTCTCTTAATTTTTCTTCAATTTAATTGATGGATCATTGATTCCGCTAAAATTTTCTGTTTAATTGATATTTAAATTAAAGGATGATACGTTTACATCAGTATTTATGATTTCCTCAATTCTTGTTAAGGAATAGTAAGTAATATGCGCATTTTTGTGATATATTTTTTATTAATGCAGATCAAGGAAAATTGAGCATTTAAATATTTATATATATATATATATAAAAAAAATGCATTTCAAATTATTCAAACTTCTTGCAAAATATAAATTTTTCTCAAAAAAAGAGGGGTTTTAAGGTTGAAACTTCATTGAATTTTAAAATGTAAACGAAAATCTAATAATTCTTAGTTAGCTCTCCCTTTAAACTCGGCTTCCGTCGGTCGAGTTTTTCTGTCTGAAATTTTTCCCTCTGCAGCAATGCGACGGCGGCGGTTGCATTAAACGACGTTTTAATGACAAAATCACATTTTCCGCGGAAAACGAAAAAGCTTTCACTGGTGCCTGCGGAAAAGAGGAAAAGCCAAATTGGCCGCGAAACAGCCCAAGCAGCTTTTATATTATACACTTTTTCTCTCTCGCGCGCCCCTCGCTGGTGCTCACGTTAAAAATAAGCGGCGGCGCGAAAGCTGCTGCCGGCGGAATTTCATCGCATTATTATTCCGCGGCGAGAGAAAAAAACCAAAGTTGCTGTGTGCCGATCGAATCCTTTCAATATGTCAGAGTGGAAAGTTTCTAATGCTAATGCAATTTGCAGCAAAAAATATATAAAGTTGGCCTGCCGGGGGAGGAGGAGTAGCGGAAGAAAGAGAGCATGCAGCGAAAAAAGTCGGCGGCGTGATAATATAATATTTGAGGCATTTTCAATCATCGCCGGCGAAAATCATCTATCACGGGCGAGAGCAACAACAACAGGCGCCAGAATGATGGATGTAATGCAAATGAGAGAGAAAACCAAACCCACCCGCTCGAATCAAATATTTGTCTGCTTGAAAAACGCGCACCATGGAAAACAGAAATTTTGCTGGCAGAAAATTTGAAAGAGAGAGAAAGAGACTAGAGCGGCTGTTTTTTGCTTCACGAGATGGATTATAAATGCGCGAAAGAGCAGCAGGTATGGCTGCTGGGAATGAGGGCCTGAAAAGAAGGAAGGGAGCTAAAGCGATGAGTGATGTTCGCACAGGGGGTGTGTCAGCACCATAATAATATTATTATTATTCATGCAAACTCACTCAATTGATGAAATCCTCACGGTTTAAGCCAATGGATGCGTTTCATCATTGGGAGACCAGATTTGTAGAGAAAGATAGCTAAAATTAATTTATAAAAAGCAAGATAGGCAAAAAAAATTAAAAACAACCCTTTTTGATAAATTTTTGAATGTTTATTTAGAATTTAAGGGAAGGCAATTATTTTTATGCGGTATTTTATTAACACGATTTTTTTTCAACTTAAACATTTGTAAATATACTAAATTACAAACCTTGCATTGTTTGTGGTGAAGTTCAAATAAATTGAAAGGAAAGTTTAAAAAAATTGCCTAATTATTTTAATGAATTTAAAAATTTTATGCAAAGAGTCAATCAAAAGCTTTAGATTTTTTGCCCAATTTTTTAAAAAGTTGAATTTTTTTTTTATAAATAAGTAATCCAACGCTCAAAACATTTTCTGCCATAAATCCAGTCTCAATTGCTAATTCTCGAAGCATGACAGTACAAAATTCGCGCAATACGAGAACCAGCCAGCAGCAATTCACTCACTCAATCTTCATTCTGCGGCAGCTTTTTTATTTCACTGCTGCATGCTTTTCCCTATTGTGTCTGTTTTCGTTTTCCTCCTCCCCGCGCTGCTTTCTTTTTTAGTTTTTCCGCCCGGCCGGCGCGTGTGTTATTCGAGACCATCATTTATTTTATTTGGCGAAAACGCAAAGTCACCCAACTCGCTTTTGCAAAAGTTGTGTTCGCTCTCGAGCGAGCTGCAGCCCGCTTGACTGGCTGGGGCGGACCTTTCTTTGCCGCAGTCACTTTGTCAGAGAGTCAAAACCGACTTTGCTTCCATGGCACAGCAGCCAGCCCAGCCACCGCAGCAAAGCTTTGTTTCGTATCGCCGCCCCGACTTGACCAAGATTGAATAAAATGAAATCTAAATCTACAGCCACGGGAAATTCACAGATTTTTCATGTAATTTTTAATGAAACTTTTTTAAGCTACAAAAAATTTAAATTTTTAATATATAATGATTATTTATTTTTAATATAAAATATTTTAATTAATGGTTATTAATTATATTCATTCATGACGCAAAAAGGCACAAAATTCCAGCTTTTCTGTAAAAAAATTCTTCATTTTAATAACATAGCCTGATGCTCTCATTTATTTAAATAAATTGTTGTTATTTTTTTTTCTTTTAAAATCTTTTAATAATTTTTAATATAATCAACTTTGTTCATAAAGATGTTATAAAAAAATTATAAATTATAAAAAAAATCAACATTAAACGTAAATAACATAAATTACTGAATTAAAAAAATTTATAACATAGTAATGATTAATAGTTTTATTTACATTTTTTTACTACTATTTTTATCGAGCTGAAGTGTTTTGATGAGTCGTAGTTGCCTGAAAATTAGTGAGAACATAATAAACCTTTTTTTAAACTAAATTAGCAAGTTAAATTCAATGTAAACTTTGATATTTTTAACTCACAACTTCTAATTTGATATTATTTAAAATTTTTAAGTGAATTGAAAGGAAGACATTATAAGAAAAATGCAATTTTAAACTTTCAAATTTTAAAATAATACTAGCGAAATTTCCGCAGCATGGTGCAGAGCGCTGCGTTGTGTCACTGGCGCTCGTCAGATTGCGCGATAAATACGTTTGGAGACAAAGCGTTGTGCAGTGTCATTGTGCAATGTCATGCACCGCTCCGGATAAGAGTTGCGCCTGCCATATTATATCATACAACGAACGCGTCGGAGTGGCGAGAGAGTTTTATTGCTAAAAAAGCGACACTCGCGAACGAGCCAAATAATTATTCGGCGGCGCCATTGTTAATGATTGCGGCACGCATTGTGTGTGTAATACTCGGAATAAAACACATTATGTCGCGCGATATTTAATTAATAAAGCCATTAATCAATTATTTTGGAGAGCGTGTCACTCTCGGAAACCACTCTCACGATCCGGGTGGCCCTGGATTTGAAAGGCAGCCAAACAACGACCGCGACTTCGGCACATACACACACGTGACGACACTCATTCTCATGACTGATTAGCGTCTCTCTCATTTTATTTGACTACGGGGACGGAATAAATTAATCATCGGCTTCTTATGCTCGGCGAAATTTATTTTCTGTCCATCCCGTCATTCCAGTTTAGGACCAGCGCAAAATAAAAATTTGTAACAAGAAAACCATGGAAAAGTTTTTGTACGTGTTTGAAATTTAACATGAATGGAGAAATAAATGGAGATTCAGATCAAATATGTTTTTGCTGTAATTTTTTAAAGCAAATTCTTCATTTGCAAAATAAAACTGTGAGTGGAAATAAGCTCCTATAGTCCTATCGTAAGGGATTAGGGATGAAGAGGCAAAATAATTTTTATTGCTGTGAATATTGAAACTTTTCATGTCTGATTTTGACGCAAGATTCAACAGCAATTATTTTACCGAGCCCACACCATATTAGTTTTCATTAAAATATGTATATTTATAAAATATCCAATCATACACATACGCAGTTAAATTTGTTGAGCTAATTTTTTATCTCCTTTTTCCATCTCTTCTTGTTAAATCTAAAATTGTTTATCGACAAATCAGTAGTGTAAAATTTTTAGGAAAAATCGTAACTTACTTGAAATCTGAAACTTCGCCTCAAAATCCTCCATCTGTTCTGAAGTTACAGTGAAGAACTGAAGACCGTGATTTAAGTGATTGTACTGCCCCTCCCACCTTCGTTCACGGCATGCAAATGTGGCAACCATGCCGATAACATAACAGCTGAGAATTCCCGCCAAAACAACACGAGACAAGTGTTTTCGAAAATCAGTCCGCGATTTCTTTAGTGATTAGTGTCCGTGTATGGATGGATTGTGCGAAGACTGCGAAGCGAGTAACCATTAACCACGTCATAGAAGGTAAAAATCTATGAAATTGGTCTAGAATGCAATTTAAAATACTTTTTTTTGTCTTTCAGGTAAGAATCCCGTTTGAAATCTCAATCTTTCTTTATCAACACAAACGTAAGTTGCTATATTATATCGTTATTGTAATTTAAACACTGTTTAAAATTGATTTCTATCAATTATATGCTTCAAAATAATTAAAAAGACGAATCTAAACTTATATATTTTTATTGCTCTTAATTAACAATTAATTTTGTTTTAGATTAAAACGAATATTACATCCTTTCCCATCATTGACAATACGTAGAAAAAATATAGCTTTTAACATGTTAAAGCTTTTAAGGCCGAAATTTTAAGAAAAAATTCAGTTGCGAAAAGGTTCGGAAGAAAACCGAATAACAAATAATTCAAGGAAAAGCTTCGCAGAAAAGATTTCCGTAAATCCTTTTAGCAGAGCTGCCATTTTGGCCCAGCTTTTTATTGATCAAGCAAAAAGCTGGCTTCTCTTTCTCGGCGAGCACTCACTCCATGAAAGAGCATTCTCTGTCGCTTTCGCATTTATTTAGTCGGAAAAGCAGAGCGGCGGCGGCAGCGGCAATTTTTATCTGGCTGAAATGTGTGGAGCTGCTGCTGCTGGGGCGGTTTTTCCGACCGCGCCCTAGATATGCCATCGCAGGATGGCCGTCATTTTTCAATTCTTAACCCAACAACACACGACTGTGCCAAAATACCACCACCGTGCAGCACACCAGCAGCAGCAGCGGCACCACCCCCGTAAATGTACTTAGCGAGAAAACTTTGTGCCAAAATGCGCTCAGCAGGCAAGCGAATTCTCATCCATCCCTGTCGCGAGCAGCAAAGCTGGAAAATAAATTTCCCGCCGTGAAAGGAAAGTAGAACCAGATGCACACGCTATATTATGCTTTGTAGGTTTAAAATATGAACTGTTTGAGGCGCAAACTGTGAATAATATCAAAACAGATCAGCGATGGGTAATTTTTTGAAGCTAATTTGCTAAAATTTTACTCAAATTAATTGCAAAAAATTATTTAAGGAGTATGTTATTTCAAAAGTACTTTATTATAATATATTTTTAAGCTACAATGTGTATTAAACCATTTGAAAGCCACATTCATTTTATGAGTGATTTAGTTTTTTTTTTTTTTTTTTTTACTTTTTAAAACTCTTAAATCTTTTAATGAAATCATAGTTTTGGTAGGAATTTCATGATGTTTTTAATTTAATAATTGGTTCATGCCTCCTGTGATGGACATCAGGTTTCAAATGGGATAGTTGCATTGCTTGAGCTCTCTCTCCTGCTTCCATTTTTAATTATTAATTTTCTAATATATCCAAATTTATGCTGAAAAAAATTATGATTAATCTCATATTTCTTAAATATAGCATCTGATCAACAGTTATTAAGTTGATGATATAAAGCAGAAAAACAATGAATGTAGCATTTCCGTCATCCCCAATTTAGTTTTTTTTCCCAGATCTTGTTTCTCCCTTGAAATAGGTGTGGGCAGTCGGCTCACTGTTCCCCCGGCAGAGAATTCCCCGGTTGAACTTTCCAATCTAAAAGCTCTCCCGGGACCGATTTCGAACAATCATTTTTCCTGCTTTTCGCCGCTGCACACACGGAAACGCGCGTCTTTCCGTTTTATCAGCGCAGCCTGACCCGCAGCTATTTTTCTTTTGCTCGGACGCGCGCGTCTGCCGAATGAGTAATGCGAAATTTATTGAAATAAAAGCGGCGGCCGGTCTCTTTGGAAAACGAGGTGCTTTCCCAGGGGTGCACTGATGTTCTCTCGTTTTTTTCTTCTGCTGGCCGCCATTCAATATCGGCGCCGAATCTTAAATGCCACATAAAAAGTGCATTTATATCTGGGTGGACCGGCGCAATAATGGACTGCGCGGTAAATAATAAAAATCGACGCTTTTACAGCCCATAAAAAACGTAAAATGAGAAACGACTTCCAGAGTTTTCCTCCAAAAAGAAAGAATAAGAAAGTGGCTCTTGCGACAAGCACTTCGGTGCGAAATTTATTCACTGAATAAAAAGATGAATTTTTTGCTGCCACAAGAGTCGTTTCTAATTTTCTATCCGGCCGAGGGGCGCTGAAGAAAATGATTTGAATTTAAAATGGGCCGACGTGAGTGTCGCGAAGTCTGATTATGCGGAGTGAGTGAGCGCGGGCGAAGCCCAAAGTTCAAACGCAAAGTCTGACAATGGAGATGAGTCGCTCCTCTCTTTTGTGTAATAATAATACTGTCTCTCGGCTGCCAATATCACGCAGCAGCCGGCAATATCATCAATTTGCAATGGAGAGAGATTATCTAGACATCTGCATGGTAATAGAGAGAACGCGCCGAATCATAATATGTACATATAGAACGTCCTGATGCGACACACACACAGGACTGTTCCCGGCGCTCGCCAGCAAGGCTTTTGCAGAGTGCTTCGATTAGATTAGATTTTCCCGGCAGTGAATTATAAACTGTCTGTGACCGTCAGCCCTGTCAGGAAAGGGGATTTGCGAGACATTATTGACTTACCAATCACAATATTCTGCATAATTGAAGAATATAGTATTAATCCTAGACTATTCTTTAACATTGTATGAATTATTTGTTCAGAAATTTTTTACATAGTAAATTAATCTCTGATGTTATAAGTAAAAAAAATAATGAAAAATATGAAAAAATTTAACTTTCGGTGAAAAAATGTGAGATATTTATATTTGTTTCCGCTGGGTCTGGGAAATAAAATTTTCAAACCTCTTATCACGGTTCCATTTAATTTTTGAACCTGTGAAGGTATGGGGGAGCTTATCAGTTTTTTTTTTTTTATCAAAAGCCACTGTTGGAAAGCTGTTTTTCCCCCGGACAGTTCAAGTAATTATGTGGCGCAGAATGTGGCGGTGGCCGTTGTTGATCGGTGCGACGCTGCTGCTAATTGCGCGCAAGCGACCTTCGTGCCCTGAGGAAGGTCTGCAGCTGCGTGACCTGACGCCGCTGTTGCATGACTCGGCCACCTTCCGCCGCATTTTCGGTCCCAGGACGATTTTCTTCGTTGAGACGTCAGGTCGCGCCGTTTTAAGTCCTCGCCAGGTGTGCACACTTGAATCGTTCGCCCGCCTCAACCCTGAGTTCAACCTGCTGATGGTTTTCTTAAAACCGGCCGTGCGATTCCGTGAGCAGGAAAACGAAGCCCTGGCCGCTGTTCTTCCCCACCACACAAACATCCACCTCACCACCATAGACGCCAAGACGGCAATGGATACGTCAGGGTTCCCTGAGATGCACCACCTGGTCAGTAAAATTCTTGGAAATAACTGCTAAATTCAGGTCGACTCTCAGATAGGGAAGAAAAAGAGAATATTTTTTGTATGCAATTTTTTATCCTACCCTGCTGTACCCTTTGCCAGGTTGCATTGTATGAGCACCATCAAATAGTAGAATATTTAGCTTTAATGATATTTTAGCTAACAATAAGATATCTTGAAAGAGGTAAAACAATAAATTTTGAATTTTACTATAATTTAAACAATTACAAATTCTTGGTGGCTAAACTGAAAGTAAACTAACTGAAGATACCTTTGATTTGAGGTTAAGTTAATTAAATTTCCTTTTTTTTATTGATTTAAGTAAGATTGAAGCCTAAAATAATTTAAATAATAATAAATTATAAAATGCAGGTTCAATAGCGTTACAAAGTTTTTACTCTAAAATGTTTTCCAAGAGTTCAAACATCGATTAAATTGATTTTTTTTACCTTTTGATTATTAAAATTTCAAAATTATGGTGTGTCTAAACCAGTAAGTAAACTAATTAAAGATATTTTTTGATGAAATAAAATCCAGCTTCCTCGGTGAAGATAAGCAACTTTATTGTTTCTGCATATGATACAGAAAATCCCTGCTCTACTAGTTTCGGTGCTTGGAAATTAAAATTTAATTAATTCCAATATTTTGTATAAAAAAATGGAGTAGAAAAATTGTTATTTATTTTTAAAATTTTTTGAATTAATACTTTTTGCATAATTCTTAATTTTACAAAATGCAAATTTGTTAGTGTCAGCTTATTTCATTTCAACAGCTCATGAATTAGGGTCGCAACCCGCAACCGAAACTAGTAGAGCAGGGATTTTCTGTACCATGCTGAAACAATTAAGTTGCTCATCTTCACGGAGGAAGCTTTTTAAAGTGACTTTTCAATCTAAGCTGAAGGGGACTTTGGAGTATATATGTATATTTTTTCAGGAATTTTTCCTGTTGCTAGTCAATGAGATTTTAAAAAAATGACCGCAGGTATCGCAGAGCGGCGACTACCTTCGCCACCTGAGTAACTGCGTGCGCCTGGTGCTCATTTGGAGGTTCGGGGGCGCCTACCTGGACCTTGACGTCATCAGCTTCAAGTCCCTGTCACCTGAGCTGCTGCAAAATCCAAACCTGGTGGCGCCTATGAACTCAGAAAGACTCAATAATGCCTTCCTGCAGTTCCGGCAGGGTCATCCTTTGGTCGAAGGGTTCATCAAGCGACTAAGGGTGACCTACAACGTGTCTCAAAGGTCAGAAGCGTCTCGATCCCTGGAGCAGGTGCTGCTTAATGCGTCCGGTCTCAGTGCGGTGCATCAGCTGATCACTCAGGGCCACGTTAGGGACGTCGTCCTGCCAGACTTCAGGTTGATCAGCTCCGCCCACCCTAGGGACTTTGGCCTCTTCTTCCACCCCACCAGAGGGCACGAACTGCTGCCCCAAATCGCCGCCAGCAAGGCCATCCACCTGTACAGCTACAAGAGCCACGGCATGCTCACCCCTCTCGAATCGTCCTCCATCATCGCCAATCTCTCCCGCCGCGTCTGTCCCAGGGCCTTCTGGAGCTGTTCAAACTTTTTCTATTAGTGAGCAATCAAAGATAATTAATGCTTATCAATGCATTGGATCAGTCATTTAGAAAATTTATAGTTGAACCCATAAAATCAAAATAAAAAAAATTGTTAGAATTATATGATTTAAAGTTAATGAAGAACTAAGATATTTTTTCTCAACTTTTGTTTTTGTTAATTAAAAAATGATTGCAATTAATTCATATTATTTTATGGTATTTCCATATCTTTCTAAATGCAGCAATACTAACATCACTTCTCTCTGGTACTTTAAAACTGACACAGCGTTAATGGAATTGTCCCACGTAGAGCTGGCGAAAATTAGATGGCATGTATACTGACTTACAACATTGTGAGCAGGCGGTTGCGACTCGATTTTATGTCTCTGACATTCCATCCCAGGCAGCCAAAGAAAGGGTTGCGTGTGTGTGATGCATGCGAACGTACCTTCGAGCGCGGTTATTGCGCCTGATATGCAATTAGACCTCCTTTTAAGTGCTATTTCATATGTCGTGCAGATGTGCTTGTTCGCTTTGATCTCGACTGATTGGAATTTTCGCTCGCCCTCTCACTGCGACAATCGAATCTGTGCGCGCGTGTTATTTGGCAGACGAATTTGTAGCAGCTAAGATCGATGAGCGGGATCATAAAAAATACAAGGATCTTCGTATTTTTAATATAATTGAATGATATTACCTGAAAATGGACATATTTTAATGCAAATTAATTGAAATTTAACTAAAACTTTAACATAATTTTAAATAATTACCATCAGCAAACAGTTGAGAATCTCAAGAAGATGCAAAACTAGTAACTAGAAATTAATACATAAATAAAAATCCTCTCCGAACTTTGGCGTACTGAAAATCTGGCCAGCGGCAAAAGAGTTGAAATCGGTTATTGCGCAGACACTTTTCGCGCGCACGATTTTCGCTAATAAAACGGGCAGACCAATAAATTAGTCTGGTAACTTGGTAAGTAAAGCGTAAGGAAAAAGTGTAGCTCGTCGCGGGGTGGAATCTAAAAAATCTGCTAATTAAAAAGTATTCGGCGAAAGAGCGGCGGTGGCGGCTCCGGAGGGAGTTTATTAAAAAGAGTGCCCTGAGGAATTTTTCGGCAGCCAGTGCGGAGAAGCGCGAGTTAATTAATCAATCGATTCAACTCTCGGCGGCCATAATTCGCTCTCGGTACATTAATTAAACGCATTGTTGGCGCAAATGAAACAATCGTGCGGCGCCGCACAAAGAGGATCTGAAACACAAAGAGCCGCGCGCCTTTTTGTTAATTATTGTTGAGAGGGAGATGATTCCGCCCCACCTTTGGCGGTCAGAAAACTTGATTTGTTTTCATTCTTCAAACGGGCTCTGATTGATCTTTGAAGTGCCGCAGCCGAAGCTTCGTATAGCAATAAAATCATTGACTTTAATTCTGCTCCTGGTTAAAATAAGGATTTAAGACCTTTTTCAAAGGCAATAAATTTTTTTTAAACCGTTATTGATTCAGATTAAAAAAAAACTGTAGTTTTTTTTTTTAAATTCAATTTTTTTACGGAAATCAAATAAAATGCAGGAAAGATTCACAATTTTTAAAGAAGATAAATCTATAAATTTAAAGTTTAGACATAACCCAAGAAGCAAAATAAAAAATAGTATACTGCGGATAGCAAGTTCCTAGTATTTTATAAAAATGAAAATTGTAACGTTAATATGGAAGTAAGAAGAATTTTCATTAAAGATAGGCTAAAAAAAAATGTCATTATGATTATTTTTTGTTCCTAAAAATTGTATCCAAAAGTTTAGGCGCAAGTTCTTAATCTTGACACGTTTTGGTGCGCGAAGAATTTCACAGTTGAGTGATTTCGCAGGCAGGCGCTGAGTGCTCAGGGACACTGGACTCATTAAAAATGTTGCAACATCAAAGCAATTAAAAGTGCAGAGGGTGCTTAGCGAGAGAGAAGGCACCGGAAGGGGTGAGAAGAGTCCACCCCCGGCGCTCCTCTCTCACTCTTCGGGTGGAAAAAAAAGTAGAAGGCGAGCGGCGGCAATTAAGTGAGTGGCGAGATTTTCTCTGCACTGCACACAACTCATTAACAATTACTGCATTAATGAAGCGCCGGGCGCAATCTGCAACTTTTTTATGGTGTGTTTGCTCATTTGCAGGCTGGGCTGGAAAAAAATAATGTGCACATGGAGTGAGGGAGCTGGTGATAATTAATAAATAACAAAGGTGCACTGGTAAAATTTTTATAGCGGAAGGGTTGCCAGTTTTTGTTTGGGTTAACAATTATTTATTTTTGTATATATACACAATTGCGTAGGTGAAATATTTTATTTGCAGATATTTTAGATACTAAAATTGGAACTTTTTTTTGTATATTATCAGTTTTCATGCTTTCACAATAATGATTTTCATAAAAATTGTGAAATAAAATCTGACCTTCTTAGGATTTGTCAATTAATAGGCTTTTTAATGTTTTACTGCCATATTTAGTTAAAAATTTACAAAAAACTAATTAAATCAGGATTCTTGCTTCAAATTTAGCCTCTGTAATTTCATAGCCGGATATATTCGTCTCCTGCCGTTTTGCTTTGGTGTGAATTACTGGCAACAAGTTTGAACGCGGTGCTCAAATTGGCGATGAAATCATCATCAGAGGGTGGGTTGATCTCTCATGAATGGAACCGCAATAGACACTCTCTCACGCGAGAGTTCTGGCCAATTTAACTGTCCATTTGTGGGGGTGCGGCTGCGGCGGAATTAATTAGCGCGTCCGGCACTCACTCGGTGCCAATAATCGGAATGTTTTGATTGCCTCTCAGCTGCTGGTCGGGACAAGGTGAATTAGCGGCCAACACAGCGTGGCCGCATACATATTTATGACAAATGCGCTCGCACTTCAAAGGGAATCGCCGATCACAAATTCACTTGTGTGTGTGTTTGCATTTAACGGCTGCTAAATGCTCTAGCTAATTGCTGAATTAGCCGCAAATGGCTCGTTCTCTCTGTCACAGTTGCCGCACCAAAAGGGAGAGTGGAAGTGCTGATAAAAAATTTTAACACTTAAAAAAAACCTAATTGCTTTTTAAAAATTTCACTAACTCGCTAGAGCAACGCAGAGAGTGCTACATATTTTGAGCGCTTTTTAAATTATTTAAAATTTGAAAATAATTTTGTAGTCTCACTAATAAATAAAAATATATCCTATAATTAAAGAAAAAAACACAATAATCCCAGAATTTTAATAACACAACAAAAATTAAGCTGAAATAAAATAAATTTTGAGAAAAATCACTTCCTCAGTGCATGCGATTTCAATAAGTTCCAATTACGTTGTATAGACTAATTTTATGAAATTGAAACTAAAAATTTATGGTGGCCCAAAAGCCTGGTTAGACTCCAGTCATTAGATAATGCAACAGAAAAAATTATTTCATCAAAAATATCGAAATTGATATTAAATATTCTCATTTTTGAAGAATTTAGAGACGAATGAAAAAAATTATTGTTCGGCATTTTGCTTTCCGTGCAGAGAGGGTTGGAAATGATATTTGTTGGGCAGAGTCAAACATAGAAACGTGAGCGTTTGATAGGCCGAACACAAAGAAACGTTCTCCGCAGGAGACAATCATCCTCTCTGAAGCTCTCGGCGTGCTTAATTTATTGTTATTATTAAGCACGTTCTCTTTTTTATTTCTCTTTGTGTGCTCGCGGCGGCGGCGGAGCCTTTTGCTCCGACCAATGGCATCTGTGCCGAGTTTCGTTCATCAGTTTTTTTGCCACGCACGGAAAATTACATTCGGAATGAGAAGGCCGGCCCTCTCTGTATGAACACGCACGGCTTGTTATTATTCGAATCAGAAATTTTCATCACGTATGATCGTTTTTGTAATTGGTAATATGGCTGCAGCTTTTCGGCCGAGGAGAAACTATAATAATATGCCTGACTGCCGAGAGAGGAAACCAATCACAGTAGCGCCCAAAATCGTCTCTCTCCATTCCATTCTTTTCGTTTAATAATCATCTCCGACTCTCGATTCTCATAACCTTGGGACCAAAGGCGGATAATGATTTTTCGTTACGTTAATATACACGGACGCGCCGCCGACCTTTCCAATAATATACACAATGCACGCTTGGTCCGAAAATTTCTTGAGGCCGTCGAGATCCGAAGATTCAAAATGATGTCAAATTGAAGAAAAAACAAGTTAACAAATAAAGCAATAATAAATTGTTTATTTATTTAAATTTATTGTGTTATTTTCATATTTACCTTTTAAAATAATAAATAAATTTTGTCTTTTTTTAATACAATTATTATTATTTTCAAGATCTGTCTCCACTCTCTAGTATTGATCATTGGGGTTTTTTCAAAAAGTATAATTCTAAAATGTTATCTAGATTTTGATTTCATTTATGTATTTATTTATTTAACACTTTAACACTCAGTTAGGGGATGTAATTTGTTTACAAATTTGATACTAAACTCAAGAGCAATATTTATTTAATGCTAATTTCATTGGTGAAAAAGTGTTTTTAAATGGCGGATTTGGCGGAAAACAAAAGTGATGCTTTTCGTTAACATAGATTTTTATTCATTCAGTTAAGATGTTTTTTTAGATTAATAAGCTAAAATATTATCTATTTGTTGAACTTGTTGGTCAGTAAAATTTGAAGCAATAAGCAATTTAAATTTTTCTTTTCTATCTCGATTTTTAATTTCCACGCTCCACACATTTATTAATATTTTTTTTCCGATAACTTCATGTATTATGCTATTCTATGAACCAATTCTTGGGGAATTTAAATTGTTAACGCCATACTTTAGGATAGAATGACAAGTATATGAAAAGCATGTTTGCTGGTTGCATAATCAGGCTTTGATAGTTTCATAATAATTATGCTGCCCAATGCAACCTATGCAAATCTCAAATAGAGCGCACACTGATAATACACATTCGGCCATTGTTTCACTCGCGCCGCGATAATGAGATTTCCGTGTACAGCGCGGCACAATGG